TTAGATTGATCGTGACACATCAGTCCTCGGACTTGGTCTGAGACACTACCTGTTTGAGTGCGAGTGTGCTGAACTTCAGTCACATGACTGAGCAGTTCAATAGGCGCAGATCTAAAATAGGACACAACCCCCCATCATTCTTCGGAACAATGAAGTACTGGCTGTAGAACCCGGAGTCTGTCCGCAGACCCGCCTTCTGCTAGAAGCCTTCGGCTTGGGAGAGCCACTCTGACTCTAGACTCTGCAGAGTTCAAGAAGTGAGGCCCCCAGAATGAGGGGCTGGAACACGGTAGGTTGGGACTGCTCCGCCCAGCAGCCCCTGCTAACCGCCTCAACCTCCTCAGAGGTAGAGAGGTTAATGCGTGCTCTCACTCGAGAAATTTATATCCCAAGAGCCCCTGTATATCTAACTTCTCATAGTCAGACAAATACTTAATTTTATTCGTCAGAATTAAATGCAATCAAACAACCAGATGAGTAAATACGGTCTAGTGTAATAAGATTCACATTAAAAACCGAAATGATGTAATATATGCGTTGCCTAGGCAGTGCGCGAGCCACTCAGTCACACAAACAACATCAATCTCCTCAGAGAAAGAGGGCCGCAGCACTCACTCAGAGGGGGAATAACCGCAGCGCGGGCTTCCAAGCCCCGAGAACGAGCTCTAGATCTAGCGAACACGGGTGGAGATAGGAAAAGCTCGGCGAAAGTGGGGCCGGCACCGCAAGGAACGCTAGTGAAGGCTCCCTCCTCAAAGAGAGCCCTCTGAGAGCGAAGCAAGGCAGTAACAACTGTGCTTCGCTCCCAAGCAAACCACGCACAGGCTGTGTGTATCCCCACTCGTGATATAATGTTTTCTTTGGGCAGGGAGGAACACACAACCTACAACGTGGCTTGCTCGTGCCCTTGAAATGCTTAGTCTTTGCGTGAGCTTAGACATAGCTGGAGCTTATAGACTTTCACAATTGACAGACAACAATAAATATGACTGACACACACAGAGGGCTTCGCTGAATGACAGAAAGCTGATGCTGGCTCTGCCGCACGTGCTTTTATAGCTTCCTGGTCATGACATCACCCGCCCGTGACGTCCCGCTCAGCTATTGGACTGATTTCACATGTTATTCAGAGCGTGGTCACAGAGGGCGTTTCCCTAGCGTTTTCAGACGCAGCTCGAGTTCCTGAAGAGGAACACCGGATCATGAGCTGATCACCTGAATGAAGTGAGCTCTTCGTTTTGAAACATGCAGCGAACTGACTTGATGAAGGGATTAAGCCATATTGTGCTCTCATTTTTAGTTTGTTTGACAGATACTGTGCCAAAGCATAATGGCCCAGAACACAACTTTAAAGACTTTTTATGTTAGAATATTTAAAAAAATCTACACCCCTTGCCCAAATTACCTATATCGGTTCATACCGTCAAGTGACCATGATGATATCGAGACAGTTTTGCTATCATGATACCACAATATTCATAATTGGTGCGTTCCAAATGTGATATATCGCCCTCCGAAGGGCACTTTGGAGTGAAAACAATCATGGCCACCATGTTGAAAGGGTCATTCCAAACCAAAAGCCACTTCAAAGGGCCCTTCGGAAAGAAGGATTTCGAAGAATACAACTGATGGACACTTTGGGCCCCCATGATCCTTTGCACAGGGAAGTTGTTTGGCGTCACACCCTGCGTTCTATCCGGAAGGGCTCATCCCCTATGCCCTAATCCCTTCAAAGTGTTTACCCTCCAGAGTGAGAGCTTCAAAGGGATTAATGCATAGGGATGAGCCCTTTCGAATGGAACACAGGGAAAATCGTTATATACCTAATATATATATACTGTATATATATACACAGTATATAGCGGGTAAAACAATTATTGAACATGTCACCATTTTTCTCAGTAAATATATTTCTAAAGGTGCTGTTGACATGAAATTTTGACATGAAATGAAGTAATTCATACATACAAAGAAAACAAAACAAATAAGTTCAGAAATTAAGTTATGTGTAATAAAATGGAATGACCCAGGGAAAAGTATTGAACAAGCTTACTGAAATTTATTTAATACTTTGTACAAAAGCCTTTGTTGGTTGACGCCTCCTGTATGGAGAAACTAGTCGCATGCATTGCTCAGGTATGATTTTGGCCCATTTTTCCACAGTCTTCAAATCTTGAAGGTTCCATGGGCCTCTTCTATGAACTCTGATCTGTAGTTCTTTCCATATATTTTCTATTGGATTCAAGTTAGGTGATTGGCTGGGCCATTCTAGCAGCTTTACTTTCTCTGAAACCAAATGAGAGTTTCCTTGGCTGTGTTTGGGATCATTGTCTTGCTGAAATGTCCAGCCTTGTTTCATCTTCATCATCCTGGTAGATGGCAGCAGATTTTTATCAAGAATGTCTTGATACATTTTCCAATTCATCCTTCCTTCAGTTATATGAATTTTGCCAGTGCCACACCATAATGTTTTTGGGGTGATGTGCAGTGTCATTTGACCTCCAAACATGGTGTGTATTATGGCATCCAAAGAGTTTTTAATTTTGGTCTCATCTGACCAGACTATATTCTCCCAGTATTTCACAGGTTTGTCCAAATGTTGTGCAGCAAACTTTAAACGAGCTTCAACATGCTTTTTCTTCAGCAATGGAGTCTTGCATGGTGAGCCTGTATACAGGCCACTGAGGTTGAGTACATTACTTATTGTTTTCTTTGAAATAATTGTACATACTAATTCCAGATATTTCTGAAGCTCTCCACAAGTGGTCTTTGGCTCTTAGACAACTCTTCTGATAATTATTTTCACTCCTCTGTCAGAAATCTTGTGAGGAGCACCTGGTCGTGGCCGGTTTATGGTGAAATAATGTTTTTTCCACTTCCGGATTATGGCCCCAACAGTGCTCAGTGGAACATTCAGAAGTATATAAATCCTTCTGTAACCAATGGCATCAGTATTATTTGCAACAATAAGGCTGCAAAGGTCTTGAGAGAGTTCTTTGCTTTTACCCATCATGAAATGTTTCTTGTGTGACACGTTGGTCATGAGACACCTTTTTATAGGCCATCAGCTGAGACTGAACCAGCTAATATTAATTTCCACTGACAAGGGAAAGGATTGCTTTCTAATTACTGATAGATTTCAGCTGGTATCTTGGCTTTCCATGCTTTTTTGCACCTCCCTTTCTTCATGTGTTCAACGTTTCACGTTTTCCCTGTCATTCCACTTTATTACACAAAACTTAATTTCTGAACTTATTTGTTTTGTTTTCTTTGTATTTATGGATTACTTGGGTTGTTACCGACATCTGGTGAAAATTTCATGTCATGGAAATGTCAACAGCACCTTTGGAAATATATTTACTGAGAAAAATAGTGACGTGTTCAATACTTATTTTACCTGCTGTGTGTGTGTGTATATATATATATACAGGTGCATCTCAATAAATTAGAATGTCGTGGAAAAGTTCATTTATTTCAGTAATTCAACTCAAATTGTGAAACTTGTGTACAAAATAAATTCAATGCACACAGACTGAAGTAGTTTGGTTCTTTTAATTGTGATGATTTTGGCTCACATTTAACAAAAACAATTCACTATCTCAACTAATTAGAATACTCCATAAGACCAATAAAAAAAACATTTTTAGTGAATTGTTTGCCTTCTGGAAAGTATGTTCATTTACTGTACATGTACTCAATACTTGGTAGGGCTCCTTTTGCTTTAATTACTGCCTCAATTCGGCGTGGCATGCAGGTGATCAGTTTGTGGCACTGCTGAGGTGGTATGGAAGCCCAGGTTTCTTTGACAGTGGCCTTCAGCTCAACTGCATTTTTTGGTCTCTTGTTTCTCATTTTCCTCTTGTATTGAGATGCACCTGTATGTTAATGAAACAAATATCAGCTTACCTTTTCAATATATGTAACGATTTCATCATTGCTCAGCTCAACAAAGGATCTCATTTTGAAACTTATGTACGCAACTGCTGTCACATCTATAAAAAATCAGATTCATATCATCATATGTGAATAAAACTTTAATCTATTCACAAAACCTGGGTTGTGAATAATAATAATAATAAGAAGAAGAAGAAGAAGAAATGAATGAACCTATAAAATAAACTTAGCTTACTTTGCAGGACAGCTTCTGGAGTTGAGGGTGTTGATTGACTTGCTGGTTGAGTTGTAGACACAAGTTGAGTTGTTGTCAGTTGAGAGGTAAATGTTGGTGTTGCTGTTCGAGTTGTAGATGTTAATGCAGTTGATTTCAATGTTGATGCAGTTGATGTAGTTTGAGCTGTTGATGTTGATCCAGTTGATGTCACTGCTGGCACAGTTGATATTGTTGATAGAGTGGTAGATAGTAGTAGTTGATAGGTATTTGGTGCAGTTAATGTTGAGGTTGGTGCTGTTGATATTGAGGATGGTACAGTTGTTGTTACTAGAGTGGTAGATGTTGGTGCAGTTGATGTTGAGGTTGGTGCAGCAGTTGTTGGTAGAGTGCTAGATGTTGGTGCAGTTGTTAGTGCAGCAGTTGTTGATAGAGTGGTGGATGTTTGTGCAGTTGTTGTGGTGGATGGTGCAGTAGTGGTTGGTAGAGTGGTAGATGTTGGTGGAGTTGATGTTGAGGTTGGTGCAGTTGTTGGTGATAGAGTGGTGGATGTTGGTGCAGTTGATATTGAGGTTGGAGCAGCAGTTGCTGGTAGAGTGGTAGATGTTGGTGCAGTTGATGTTGAGGTTGGCGCAGCAGTAGTTTGTAGAGTGGTAGATGTTGGTGCAGTTGATGTTGAGGTTGGTGCAGCAGTAGTTTGTAGAGTGGTAGATGTTGGTGCAGTTGATGTTGAGGTTGGCGCAGCAGTTGTTGGTAGAGTGGTAAATGTTGGAGCAGTTGTTGTTAGAGTGGTGGATGTTTGTGCAGTTGTTTTTGAGGTTGGTGCAGCAGTTGTTGGTAGAGGGGTAGATGTTTCTGCAGTTGATGTTGAGGTTGGTGCAGTTGTTGTTGATGGAGTAGAAGATGTTGGTACAGTTGATGTTGAGGTTGGTGCAGTTGTTGTTGATGGAGTAGAAGATGTTGGTACAGTTGATGTTGAGGTTGGTGCAGTTGTTGTTGATGGAGTGGAAGATATTGGTGCAGTTGATATTGAGGTTGGTGCAGCAGTTGTTGGTAGAGTGGTAGATGTTGGTACAGTTGTTGTTGATGGAGTGGTAGATGTTGGTACAGTTGTTGTTGATGGAGTGGTAGATGTTGGTACAGTTGTTGTTGATGGAGTGGTAGATGTTGGTACAGTTGTTGTTGATGGAGTGGTAGATGTTGGTACAGTTGTTGTTGATGGAGTGGTAGATGTTGGTACAGTTGTTGTTGATGGAGTGGTAGATGTTGGTACAGTTGTTGTTGATGGAGTGGTAGATGTTGGTACAGTTGTTGTTGATGGAGTGGTAGATGTTGGTACAGTTGTTGTTGATGGAGTGGTAGATGTTGGTACAGTTGTTGTTGATGGAGTGGTAGATGTTGGTACAGTTGTTGTTGATGGAGTGGTAGATGTTGGTACAGTTGTTGTTGATGGAGTGGTAGATGTTGGTACAGTTGTTGTTGATGGAGTGGTAGATGTTGGTACAGTTGTTGTTGATGGAGTGGTAGATGTTGGTACAGTTGTTGTTGATGGAGTGGTAGATGTTGGTACAGTTGTTGTTGATGGAGTGGTAGATGTTGGTACAGTTGTTGTTGATGGAGTGGTAGATGTTGGTACAGTTGTTGTTGATGGAGTGGTAGATGTTGGTACAGTTGTTGTTGATGGAGTGGTAGATGTTGGTACAGTTGTTGTTGATGGAGTGGTAGATGTTGGTACAGTTGTTGTTGATGGAGTGGTAGATGTTGGTACAGTTGTTGTTGATGGAGTGGTAGATGTTGGTACAGTTGTTGTTGATGGAGTGGTAGATGTTGGTGCAGTTGATGTTGAGGTTGGTGCAGTTGTTGTTGATGGAGTGGAAGATATTGGCGCAGTTGATGTTGAGGTTGGTGCAGCAGTTATTGGTACAGTTGTTGTTGATGGAGTGGTAGATGTTGGTGCAGTTGTTGTTGACAGAGTGGTTGATGTTGGTACAGTTGTTGTTGAAGGAGTGGTAGATGTTGATGCAGTTGTTGTTGACATAGTGGTAAATGTTGGTGCAGCAGTTGCTTGCAGAGTGGTAGATGTTGGTGCAGTTGATGTTGAAGTTGGTGCAGCAGATGTTGTTGAGGTTGGTGCAGCAGTTGATGGCAGAGTGGTAGATGTTGGTGCAGTTGATGTTGAGGTTGGTGCAGTTGTTGTTGATGGAGTGGAAGATATTGGTGCAGTTGATGTTGAGGTTGGTGCAGCAGTTGTTGGTAGAGTGGTAGATGTTGGTACAGTTGTTGTTGATGGAGTGGTAGATGTTGGTGCAGTTGATGTTGAGGTTGGTGCAGTTGTTGTTGATGGAGTGGAAGATATTGGTGCAGTTGATGTTGAGGTTGGTGCAGCAGTTGTTGGTAGAGTGGTAGATGTTGGTACAGTTGTTGTTGATGGAGTGGTAGATGTTGGTGCAGTTGATGTTGAGGTTGGTGCAGTTGTTGTTGATGGAGTGGAAGATATTGGTGCAGTTGATGTTGAGGTTGGTGCAGCAGTTGTTGGTAGAGTGGTAGATGTTGGTACAGTTGTTGTTGATGGAGTGGTAGATGTTGGTGCAGTTGATGTTGAGGTTGGTGCAGTTGTTGTTGATGGAGTGGAAGATATTGGTGCAGTTGATGTTGAGGTTGGTGCAGCAGTTGTTGGTAGAGTGGTAGATGTTGGTACAGTTGTTGTTGATGGAGTGGTAGATGTTGGTGCAGTTGATGTTGAGGTTGGTGCAGTTGTTGTTGATGGAGTGGAAGATATTGGTGCAGTTGATGTTGAGGTTGGTGCAGCAGTTGTTGGTAGAGTGGTAGATGTTGGTACAGTTGTTGTTGATGGAGTGGTAGATGTTGGTGCAGTTGATGTTGAGGTTGGTGCAGTTGTTGTTGATGGAGTGGAAGATATTGGTGCAGTTGATGTTGAGGTTGGTGCAGCAGTTGTTGGTAGAGTGGTAGATGTTGGTACAGTTGTTGTTGATGGAGTGGTAGATGTTGGTGCAGTTGATGTTGAGGTTGGTGCAGTTGTTGTTGATGGAGTGGAAGATATTGGTGCAGTTGATGTTGAGGTTGGTGCAGCAGTTGTTGGTAGAGTGGTAGATGTTGGTACAGTTGTTGTTGATGGAGTGGTAGATGTTGGTGCAGTTGATGTTGAGGTTGGTGCAGTTGTTGTTGATGGAGTGGAAGATATTGGTGCAGTTGATGTTGAGGTTGGTGCAGCAGTTGTTGGTAGAGTGGTAGATGTTGGTACAGTTGTTGTTGATGGAGTGGTAGATGTTGGTGCAGTTGATGTTGAGGTTGGTGCAGTTGTTGTTGATGGAGTGGAAGATATTGGTGCAGTTGATGTTGAGGTTGGTGCAGCAGTTGTTGGTAGAGTGGTAGATGTTGGTACAGTTGTTGTTGATGGAGTGGTAGATGTTGGTGCAGTTGATGTTGAGGTTGGTGCAGTTGTTGTTGATGGAGTGGAAGATATTGGTGCAGTTGATGTTGAGGTTGGTGCAGCAGTTGTTGGTAGAGTGGTAGATGTTGGTACAGTTGTTGTTGATGGAGTGGTAGATGTTGGTGCAGTTGATGTTGAGGTTGGTGCAGTTGTTGTTGATGGAGTGGAAGATATTGGTGCAGTTGATGTTGAGGTTGGTGCAGCAGTTGTTGGTAGAGTGGTAGATGTTGGTACAGTTGTTGTTGATGGAGTGGTAGATGTTGGTGCAGTTGATGTTGAGGTTGGTGCAGTTGTTGTTGATGGAGTGGAAGATATTGGTGCAGTTGATGTTGAGGTTGGTGCAGCAGTTGTTGGTAGAGTGGTAGATGTTGGTACAGTTGTTGTTGATGGAGTGGTAGATGTTGGTGCAGTTGATGTTGAGGTTGGTGCAGTTGTTGTTGATGGAGTGGAAGATATTGGTGCAGTTGATGTTGAGGTTGGTGCAGCAGTTGTTGGTAGAGTGGTAGATGTTGGTACAGTTGTTGTTGATGGAGTGGTAGATGTTGGTGCAGTTGATGTTGAGGTTGGTGCAGTTGTTGTTGATGGAGTGGAAGATATTGGTGCAGTTGATGTTGAGGTTGGTGCAGCAGTTGTTGGTAGAGTGGTAGATGTTGGTACAGTTGTTGTTGATGGAGTTGTAGATGTTGATGCCATTGATGTTGATGTTGGTGCAGTTGTTGTTGATGGAGTGGTAGATGTCGATGCCGTTGATGTTGTGGCTGGTGAAGTAGTTGTTGATGGAGTGGTAGATGTTGGTGCAGTTGCTGCTGAGGTGGATGCAGTTGTTGTTGACACAGTGGTTGATGTTGGTGTAGTTGTTGTTGATGGAGTGGTAGATGTTGGTGCAGTTGTTGCTGAGGTTGGTGCAGTTGTTGTTGATGGAGTGGTAGATGTTAGTGCCGTTGATGTTGTGGCTGGTGCAGTTGTTGTTGATGGAGTGGTTGATGTTGGTGCAGTTGTTGTTGATGGAGTGGTAGATGTTGATGCTGTTGATGCTGTTGATGTTGTGGATGGTGCAGTAGTTGTTGATAGAGTGGGAGATGTTGGTGCAGTTGTTGTTGACAGAGGGGTTGATGTTGGTGCAGTTGTTGTTGATGGAGTGGTAGATGTTGATGCCGTTGATGTTGTGGATGGTGCAGTAGTTGTTGATGGAGTGGTAGATGTTGGTGCCATTGATGTCATGGCTGCTGCAGTTGTTGTTGTTGATGTAGTGGTAGATGTTGGTGCGGTTGTTGCTGAGGTGGTTTCAGTTGTTGTTGGCAGAGTGGTTGATGTTGGTGGAGTTGTTGTTTGTGCAGCTGATGATGTAAGTGAAAATAAAACAGCACAATAAGAAAGAAGAAAAACATATACTTTTTTAAAGAGAAAAAACATGGCAGAGAACAGTGACCTATAGTGGAAGTAAAGCAAAAATGGAAGTGACATCTCTCTGACCTGTAAATGAATTGTTTTTCAGTGTTTGTGATACGCTGTTTGAACATGGTTTTAACTGAATCTGAGTGCTACAAGTGTGTAATTTTCATCTGTGACTGAAGCCTAGTTTCACTAGAAAAACAGGATTATGTTATCTTTGGTGGCTGTTACTACTAAGTATTGTTTAGTAACTAGTTCAACAGATTTTTTTTACGTTCAGTCAATTTCTCTCTTTAAAGTCTTACCTGAATTATTTTTTTAGTTGGCTCAAACTTTACTGAACTAGTTTTATAGTCCATTCAACTAAAATATTTTAATTGGTTGAATATTTAGAAAACTACAGCAAATTATTTCAATTAAAATTTAACCATTTACTCCATGTGTTTCATATGTTACATTAATTAAGATTTATTATTTGGGCATCATAATAAATTGCTGTGGAACTAGTTATTACATTTTATACTGAGTTTAACAAAATTATAAACTGGTGTCTATCATTCACTAAAAGCACACACATTGCAAAACATAATCGCCTTTATTTAATAACAATCTGCATTTATAACATTTGCCATACAGACTACACATGCAGGCTATATAGGAATAGTTAACCCAAAAATGAAAATTTGCTGTTAATTGACCCTCGGGCCATCCAAGATGTAGGTGACTTTTCTTCAGTAGAACAGTAAAGGAGATTTTAGGTGAAACCATTTTCTTTACCAATTCATAAACTGCACATCTGTGGCTGCCAGATTTTGCAAGCCAAAAAAACATACAAACAAGACCAAATTACCAGTGGTTACCAATCACCTGATGACACATTGAGGTCTTATTAAGCAAAACAGTCACTCTGTGATATTAATTTGATCTTGTCTGTATGCTTTTTTGACCCTCAAAAACCGGCAGCCACTGATGTGGAGTGTACGAATAGCCAAGGATCACCGTTTCAAATAAAAATCTTTATGATTCTACTGAAGAAAAAAAGACACAGACATCTGGGATGGCCTGATTGTCAGTATATTAACAGCAAATTTTCATTTTTGGGTGAACCCCCCCACCTTTAAAGTGCTCCAGTTGTCAAACATTACATTTGTAATACAACTGCAAAATTAATTTTAAACATTTGTTTATTGAACTTAAAAAAGACTAAAGTTAAACTAAATGTTTGCAGACAAATATTTACAAATATTACTACTGTTCACAATTTCATCTTTAAAATTAGGCAAAAGTCAGAAAAAAATAAATGAACCAGGTGTTACAGTATACATTATACAGTGAACTAAGTCAAGTCAAGTCACTGTTATTTATGTAGCGCTTTTTACAATACAGATTGTGTCAAAGCAGCTTTACAGTATTAAACAGGAAAATAGTGTGTCAAAGGAACCAAAACTCAAACCAGCAGTTGAATTCTGCTCATCTGTTTCCCGTGGTCTTGTCCCAGTGGCTGTCTAGGTGACGAGGTCTTATGAGGGGATCTGTCTCTGGGGCTCATCTAGCTGACATGGACTCCATGGTCATCTCTAGGTGCTGATCCACCATCTGGACTGGATATGGACTGGATCTGGGTGGCTACATTCACCTCGGAATAAGAATGAAACAGACTAATAATAGTGCAGATGCCACTGAGAACAATAAAAAAACATAATAATTGTAGTAAAAGCTCTAAGCATTTACTGATCTACTGATTCACTACCTAGGGAGCTGATGGACGGCCTTGTGAAAGGATTCAGTTGTTCATTTTCTTTTGGAACGACTAACTCCCTTCTGAAGTGCCATTCACGAGACCACAATCACCATTTTGAATTAGCTCCATTTGAAAAGAGTGACATTTCAGTGTGGCTTGTTGTTAGTCAAGTTTAATGTCGTCTTTTAACTTCATGGTACATTTGCAAAAGTTTGCACACGCAAAAACCCATTCAACACGCCCATGTTAACTTCAAATAAGCGTATTACTGTGGTTTGCATTACACGTTTCAAAGATTTCGGTTTAGTCGAATTAAGCATCAACATGGTTTATAAAGAGAGAAAGACAGCGCAATCTCGTCATGTTTTTTAACATCACGGAAACACAAAAATATCATGCAACACGCCAAAATTAAACCTAAAATTCATTATAGTAACAGCTTTTGACATTTATGGATTAAACAAGATGAAAGACCACGTTCCCTTAACTTAAACAGTCATTACCCTCAAACATATAATTCAAACAACGCTTATTCTATGTTTTTATGTGGATATATGTTGTACGCTTGTGTATAAATATATTCGTTTTAAATAAAACGTTTACACCTTTTTAATATATACGTTTAGTCTAAGTACAAATTTTTATTAAGTGCCACTGATGTGTGAACTTGACGTAAACTTAACTTAAATGTTCACTTTTCTTTGGACATACAACTTTTAAAACACTTCTAAAGAGCCATGCAAAAACATTGAATATGTTGTACGATTTTGTCGATAAATTTATTCTAAAAAATAACATTTATTTGGTGGCACTTACCTGACGCATGAACTTGATAAGATGGCGCTGCTGTTTCTCCTGCGAAGTCACTCAGGTTTGTGCACGTGCGGAATGATCTCAGTGTTGACTGGATTTGTTTTTATTAGGTTAGTCAACATTGGCAGTCTGAAATGTTGACTGGATTTGAAAATAACCCTTCATTAAATGTTTTTAAAATATATTTTTGTACATCTTATCAACTAAGCCCAAGCAATAAAGTTAGTTCAACTTATTAATATTTTAACTTATTAATATTTTTGCCCTTCCAACATTTTGTTAATTGGATATTTTTTTTACAGTATAAGTAATAAATAATTAAATAAGTAAAGTAGTTAATAGCTGCAATTTTCCATACAAACAAAGCATTGAAGTTGTTAACCCATGGGGTTCTCCGGTTACACTTTACTTGAAGGGGTGTGCGTAAGACTGACATGACACCTTCATAATCATGACATGACACCTACATAATCATGACATGACACATGTCTTGAATATTAAGTTTTTTATGCATGTTTATGACAACTGTCATTAAGTGTCATTCGCTCAGTTATGTAATTTTTAATGCAAAGATGACATTGTTTGAGATGTCTTTGTTATGGGCTATGGGTAGGGGTAGGGTTAGGTTAGGGTTAGGTCAAATAATGTTATATTTGCATTAAAAATGATATAACTGAGCGAATGACACTTAATGACAGTTGTCATAAACATGCATAAAACCTCCTTCATATTCATGACATGTGTCATGTTATGATTATGAAGGTGTCATGTCAGTCTTATGCACACCCCTTAAAGTAAAGTGTTACCGGTTCTCCTACCTACATTTTGATTTATCCCACAAAGAGGAACTACAATCACTACAAAAATGGATGACATACATATAAATCCATTCTGAACAAGTCTCGATGTTTTTTGTGTGTGAGTGAGACAAATTAAATCCACTGTTACATGAATCTACCTCTGTCAGGTGTCCTTATAAATATGCACATATATTCTGCAGCTATGAGCTTAACTTAACCAAACAATTACACATATTATTATTTTTTTCCTGTAAAAATTGAAAATAATTTAATCACACCACCGTTTCTTTAATAAAAACACTAATAGTTCACGATTGGTCACCAGTTATGATGAACTGTTATGAAAACTGATCATGTGGGAGCAACTACAACAGCTCAATGTCCCTTTGGTAACAAACAATGCAGTAATGAACTGTGCTACATATTTCACTATCAGTTATATTATCGAGTGTTTTTCCTTTCTTTGACACTGACATCAAAATAACTGGCATTGCAAGTTTTGTTTGTATTTGCAGGGAGTATTTTTGTTTCATCATTTCTTGGCAGTTTGTTTTAAAATGTGATGCGCAATTATTATAATTATAGCTGTATAGTTGATTTGTAAGGTTTAGATAAACTTGCAGAATTAAAGGTGTGTTTTGAACATGTTTCTGTGTTTATTCTGCTCACACGTTTTGCGATTTTTGTTTTTATTTCAAACACTAAAGAAGAACATTTGGCATCAAGCAAAACTGCAGAAATAATGATAAACCGGTTTTCAGAACACTAGCCAATCACCTCCTCTGGTCAGGAAAACAGAAAGATGTGATAGTTTAAGCCAATGTTGCTATGTTGGGCTGGTCTCAATGCTCAAACAAATGAACCAATGTTTTGATAGAAACATAGACTGTCAAAAAAAAAATCTGTGACATTTGCGGAAAAATACTGACAGCTGTGGTCGCCAGAACTTTACCGTAAAAAAAAAAAAAAATTGGTAGCAACATTTTAGGATTTACAGACCTAACTTGAATTCACAGTAAAAAAAAATATGTATTTCATTAACTGATATAATGTTAATATACTGACCTATTGAAGTACTAATATCTGTTTTGATTGTAATACAATGATAACCACCAAAACAGGTGGTGATGCGAAATTGGTGATGGTCATTTGTTTCTATGTTTTTATAAAACTGCATAGATTATTCAGAAATGGTAAAGTAGAACAGATATTCTATATTCCTAAATAAAATTGACACTTATATAAAGCGCACTAGATGCATAATAATAAATTAGTAATATATACACATACATATATATATATTTTTTTTTTTTGCAGATTAATATTTAGATTCAAATATTTAGATTTAAATAGATGTCTTACCTGTTGGTATTGATCTACCAATCAGTAAAGCCAATCCAATAAATATAATAAATCGAAACATCTTTCAGGTTTTTAGCTACCAAACCTAATACCAGAAAAACTACCTCTGAGAAGCAACCTAACATGAGGAATGCAAACATAAAGGGTAATCCTCTTCTTCTGCCTGGAATATAACTGAAGATGGATGTGTTTGACTTCAAGCTAAAGCTTGTTGTTGAACTCCACCCACCAATTCATTTGTACTAATATAACAGGTTCTCAGAGTAAGTCCCTAAGAGTTCAGCGAGATTTTATTTTATTTTTTTAAATAAAAATGGGGACTCATTATTCAATTTCTTATTCTGATCATCAAATGTTAGTGAAACTTGTTCAATTTATGTCTCAGCTGTTTAACTTTTATATGTTAATACCAATATCTACGCATTAAGAAATTAGTTTTCATTCAAATGTTCTTCACTAAGTGTTTTACTATTTAATATTTCATTTTCTTTACAAAAATCTAATTTGCAGTAAGCCATTAACTCATAAATGCTTTTACTGGAAAATACTAACGATGCAAAACTTTACAGACTGGTTTGTAGTTTTTTAACACATTCTCGCTGAAGACCCTCAGCTCCCATTTTAATCAGCAGAATAATTTGTGACTGCAAAATGTGCCAGTTGTGTCTTCTTAAAACTCTTATCTACTAATTTTTATAAATCAGAGGAGATTTTGCATATGACTACAACATGTTGCAAGTCAGTAATTAAACTTGCAGCAAAATTTCAGTATGAGGAAACATCACGTAATCAGTCATTCTCTGTAACATTCCATTGACTGTATGCTAGTTATTGTCATCTATAATCTTGTCATTATAATCTGTCATCCATGTTTCTTAATAATCTTGATGAAATAGCCATAGAAGAGATGAGATATAAAGAAGCAGAGATTCTTTTAGGCCATTCAAACAATTTGAATTAAATTGGTTTTAAATGCAAGTATATGTGAGAAGAAAATTAACTGATACGTCATTGACAAATATCTTCTCATAGTTTCTCCATGGCTGACTCTGGTTAATCAGCATTTCATTGAGTAGCCATCTGAATAATTGACAAGTTTCTACAAGCTTCACCCTTTTTAAGGTGAACATTGTTACCAAGTGTGACTTCCCAACATATACTAACTTCTTCCTCATTAGATGAATGTACATGCACATATCTGGTGGATTACAATTAAAGAAGTAGACAATTTGCTGAAAATGTACTCACCCTCGGGCCATAAGATGTAGCTCAAGTGAGCCAGTAATGTTCAGTTTCTCCAAATCTGTTCAGATGAAAAAACAAACTCATCTACCTCTTTGGTGGCCTGCGGGTGAGTACATTTTCAGCTAATTTTAATTTTTGGGTGAACTATTCCTTTAAGATTAACCTTAGCAAAACAAGTAACAATGTTATGTTGGTCAAAATAATTGAGAAAATAATTGTCAGAGATCTTGAAGTCAAAAACATAAATATATTTACAATGTATTTAAATATAACACATCACCTAAAAACAGCATCGGATTTTATCATTGCATGATAAATATCAAATTAATAATGTGAATGATGTGGCCTTGTGTAAAGTTTTTTTTTTTTTTTTTTTACACAAATGCATTTGATTATAATTTGTCAGGGCTTCAACATGCTATTATTGCAGTGAAGTTTTCCATCAGATCCTTAGACCAACAATTTTCTTGATTTCTTCACAGTAATCTTTATGGTCCCATTAATGTTTGCTTGAAAGTGCTTGACAAACTGCAATGAAAAAAATACAATTAAATGTACAGTAATATTTGTTAATTTAGCCTCAAAATAAAACAATAGCTTCTATATCTAATTATTATTACTAGCCAGATATTTTTTTCTTGTAAATATTGGAAATTAATACAACATGTAGGTACAATTCAGGCTGAATGTAAAAAAAAAAATAAAAAAAAAATATATAATATATATATATATATATATTTCTGATAATAGCATGCTTAACAAGGCTCTTTTTTTAACTGTGATTCTGCCATGCTTGTGCATGATTTTTTTCTTCAAAGTTAGTCATGATTATTACCCAGACTTATTATTCAGAGTAGTTTCTCTTGTCAGCAGTAATATTAATATTTAAGAACAATCTTTTTCGCTGACAAGGCATACATTTTAGACTTGTAGCTGCAGGTCATTCTACTGTCAGCCAACTCATTCTCAGAAGTCACACTCTAAAGTCTTTAATAGAGTTGTTGTTTTCCTGCCGTGGGTACATCAAATTTCCATATATATATATACAGTGGGTACGGAAAGTATTCAGACCCCCTTAAATTTTTTTATATATATTGCTTGCTTGATATATTTTTTTGTTTTTAATTCTTCAACAGTTCGGCAAGGTCAATGCTTACAATTAGGCAAAAAGATTTAATAACAAAATAACAGCTTACCTTTTCAATATAAGTAACGATTTCATCATTGCTCAGCTCAACAGAGGATCTCAATTTAAAAGCTACATATGCAAATGCTGTCATATCTATAAAATGAAAACTTCAATTAGTTTCGGATTAGCATAGGTGAATAAAACTAAAAACAAAATCTGAATGATGTTTCATGAAAAAAAGACAAAATTAACAGGTACAATAACTTTGCTTACTTTGTGGGACAACATCTGGAGATGATGTTGACTGGCTTGCTGGTTGCGTTGTAGATATAACTTGAGTTGTCATTTGAGAAGTGGGTGTTGGTGTTCGAGTAGATGTTAATGCAGTTGATCTCGAAGTGGGTGCAGTTGTTGTTTTTGTAGTAGATGGTGCAGCTGATGTCGATGTTGCCGTTTGAGTAGTAGGTGTTGTTGCAGTTGACTGACTGGTAGATGTTGGTTGCGTATATGTAGACAATAGTACAGTTGGTGCAATTGATGAAGTTCTTTGAGTGACAGTGGATGAAGATGCTGGTGAAGTTGTTGTTGATGATTGAATGGTAGATGTTGGCACAGTTGATCTCAAAGTTGGTGCAGCTGTTGTTGATTGAGTAGTAGATGCTGGTGCCGCTGATTTCGATGTTGCCGTTGTTGTTGACTGCGTTGTAGGTGTTGTTGCAGTTGATTGACTAGCAGATGTTGTTTGCATAGACGTAGATAATAGCACAATTGATGCCGTTGATGTAGTACTTTGAGTCACAGATGTTGATGCAGTTGATGAAGATGCTGCTGTAGTTGTTTGAGCTGTAGATGTTGATGTAGATGTTGGTACATTTATTGCTGTTTGAGCTGTAGATGTTGGTGCAGTTGATGTAGTTGTTGGCATTGATGGAGTCAATGCAGATTGTTGATTGAAGATTGCAGTTGTTTGAGTTGTAGAGGTTGATACAAGTGATGTAGATGTTGGGATTGTCATTATTGACTGAGCTGTAGATGGTGCAGTTGATGTAGATGTTGGTACAGCTCTTGATTGAGCTGTGGATGTTGATGCAGTTGTTGTTTGAGTTGTAGATGTTATCACAGTTGGTGTTAAGGTTGTGGCAGTTGTTGCAGCTGTTGCTGTGTGAGTAGTAGATGTTGGTACAGCTATTGTAGATATTGGTGCAATCGATGTTGCAGTTATTGTTGATAGAGTTATAGGTGTTGTTGCAGCTGATGTAGATGTTGGCGCAATTAATGCTGATGTTGGTGCACTTGCTGATTGACTGATGGATGTTGGTTGTGTAGATGTAGAAAATATACCAGTTAATACAGATGACGTAGTTGTTTGAGTCGTAGATGTTGGTGCAGTTGATGTAAATATTGGTGCGATTAATGCTGATGTTGGTGCACTTGTTGATTGATGGGTAGATGTTAGTTCTTTTGATGTAGATAATACCACAGCTGATGCATCTGAAGTAGTTTTTTGAGTCATAGATATTGATGCATTCGATGAAGATATTGGTGGAGTTGTTATCTGAGCTGTAGATGCTGATGTAGATATTGGTACAGTAATTACTGTTTGAGCAGTAGATGCTGGTGTAGTTGATGAAAAAGTTAATACTGGTGATGTAGTTGTTTGGGTTGTTGAAGTTGATGCAATTAATGAAGATGTTGGTGCAGTTGTTTGAGTTGTAGAAGTTGGTGTAGATGTTATCGATTGAATTGTAGATGGTGCAGTTGATGTAGATGTTGGTACAGCTGTCAGTTGAGCTGTGGATATTGACGCATAAGTTGTCAGTGTAGTTGATGTAGACGTTGGTGAAGAGGCTGTTAGAAATTGAGATGTAGATGTTGGTGCAGGGTTTGTTGTTGATTCAGATGTAGATGTTGAAGCAAACGTTGTTGACTGAGGTGTAGATGTTGGTGCAGGGGTTGTTGTTGATTGAGCTGTAGATGATGTTGTAGCTGATGTAGATGTTGGTGCAGGGGTTGTGTTTGTTGATGGAGCTGAAGGTGTTACTGTAGTTGATGTAAATGTTTGTGCAGGCATTGTCTGAGCTGTAGGTGTTTGTGTAACTGACGTTTGTGCAGGGATTAATGTTGATTCAGATGTAGATGTTGGAGCAGGTGGTCTTGACTGAGGTGTAGGTGTTGGTCCAGGGGTTGTTGTTGTTGACGTCATTGTTGCTGATTGAGCTGTAGATGGTGCTGTAGCTGATGTAAATGTTGGAGCAGGGCTTTTTGTTGTTGTTGATGGAACTGTAGATGTTTCTGTAGTTAATGTAGATGTTAGTGCAGGGGTTGTTGTTGTTTCAGATGTAGATGTTGAAGCAGATGCTGTTGATGGAGCTGTAGATGTTGCTGTAGTTGATGTAGATGTTGGTTCAGTGGTTGTTGGTGATGATGTTGTTGATTGAGCTGTAGATGTTGTTGCAGCTGATGTAGATGTTAGTGCAGGGGTTGTTGTTGATGAAGCTGTAGATGTTGGTGCAGGGATTGTTGTTGATTCAGATGTAGATGTCATTGATTGAGGTGTAGATGGCGGTGTTGTTGATTCAGTGGTTGGTGAGTGAGATGTAGTTGTTGTTGATTCAGATGTAGATGTTTGAGAAGGTGTTGTTGATTTAGGTGTAGATTTTTGTGATGTTGATTCAGATGTTGATTCAGTGGTTAGTGAGTGAGATGTAGATGTTGTTGTAGCTGATGTAGATGTTGGTGCAGGGGTTGTTCTTGTTGATGGAACTGCAGATGTTACCGTAGTTGATGTAGATGTTGGTTCAGTGGTTGTAGTTGATTCAGATGTAGATGTTTGAGCAGGTGTTGTTGATTGAGGTGTAGATGGTGGTGTTGTTGATTCAGATGTTGATTTAGAAGTTGGTGAGTGAGATGTAGATGTTGTTGTAGCTGATGTAGATGTTGGTGCAGGGGTTGTTCTTGTTGATGGAACTGCAGATGTTACCGTAGTTGATGTAGATGTTGGTTCAGTGGTTGTAGTTGATTCAGATGTAGATGTTTGAGCAGGTGTTGTTGATTGAGGTGTAGATGGTGGTGTTGTTGATTCAGATGTTGATTTAGAAGTTGGTGAGTGAGATGTAGATGTTGTTGTAGCTGATGTAGATGTTGGTGCAGGGGTTGTTCTTGTTGATGGAACTGCAGATGTTACCGTAGTTGATGTAGATGTTGGTTCAGTGGTTGTAGTTGATTCAGATGTAGATGTTTGAGCAGGTGTTGTTGATTGAGGTGTAGATGGTGGTGTTGTTGATTCAGATGTTGATTTAGAAGTTGGTGAGTGAGATGTAGATGTTGTTGTAGCTGATGTAGATGTTGGTGCAGGGGTTGTTCTTGTTGATGGAACTGCAGATGTTACCGTAGTTGATGTAGATGTTGGTTCAGTGGTTGTAGTTGATTCAGATGTAGATGTTTGAGCAGGTGTTGTTGATTGAGGTGTAGATGGTGGTGTTGTTGATTCAGATGTTGATTTAGAAGTTGGTGAGTGAGATGTAGATGTTGTTGTAGCTGATGTAGATGTTGGTGCAGGGGTTGTTCTTGTTGATGGAACTGCAGATGTTACCGTAGTTGATGTAGATGTTGGTTCAGTGGTTGTAGTTGATTCAGATGTAGATGTTTGAGCAGGTGTTGTTGATTGAGGTGTAGATGGTGGTGTTGTTGATTCAGATGTTGATTTAGAAGTTGGTGAGTGAGATGTAGATGTTGTTGTAGCTGATGTAGATGTTGGTGCAGGGGTTGTTCTTGTTGATGGAACTGCAGATGTTACCGTAGTTGATGTAGATGTTGGTTCAGTGGTTGTAGTTGATTCAGATGTAGATGTTTGAGCAGGTGTTGTTGATTGAGGTGTAGATGGTGGTGTTGTTGATTCAGATGTTGATTTAGAAGTTGGTGAGTGAGATGTAGATGTTGTTGTAGCTGATGTAGATGTTGGTGCAGGGGTTGTTCTTGTTGATGGAACTGCAGATGTTACCGTAGTTGATGTAGATGTTGGTTCAGTGGTTGTAGTTGATTCAGATGTAGATGTTTGAGCAGGTGTTGTTGATTGAGGTGTAGATGGTGGTGTTGTTGATTCAGATGTTGATTTAGAAGTTGGTGAGTGAGATGTAGATGTTGTTGTAGCTGATGTAGATGTTGGTGCAGGGGTTGTTCTTGTTGATGGAACTGCAGATGTTACCGTAGTTGATGTAGATGTTGGTTCAGTGGTTGTAGTTGATTCAGATGTAGATGTTTGAGCAGGTGTTGTTGATTGAGGTGTAGATGGTGGTGTTGTTGATTCAGATGTTGATTTAGAAGTTGGTGAGTGAGATGTAGATGTTGTTGTAGCTGATGTAGATGTTGGTGCAGGGGTTGTTCTTGTTGATGGAACTGCAGATGTTACCGTAGTTGATGTAGATGTTGGTTCAGTGGTTGTAGTTGATTCAGATGTAGATGTTTGAGCAGGTGTTGTTGATTGAGGTGTAGATGGTGGTGTTGTTGATTCAGATGTTGATTTAGAAGTTGGTGAGTGAGATGTAGATGTTGTTGTAGCTGATGTAGATGTTGGTGCAGGGGTTGTTCTTGTTGATGGAACTGCAGATGTTACCGTAGTTGATGTAGATGTTGGTTCAGTGGTTGTAGTTGATTCAGATGTAGATGTTTGAGCAGGTGTTGTTGATTGAGGTGTAGATGGTGGTGTTGTTGATTCAGATGTTGATTTAGAAGTTGGTGAGTGAGATGTAGATGTTGTTGTAGCTGATGTAGATGTTGGTGCAGGGGTTGTTCTTGTTGATGGAACTGCAGATGTTACCGTAGTTGATGTAGATGTTGGTTCAGTGGTTGTAGTTGATTCAGATGTAGATGTTTGAGCAGGTGTTGTTGATTGAGGTGTAGATGGTGGTGTTGTTGATTCAGATGTTGATTTAGAAGTTGGTGAGTGAGATGTAGATGTTGTTGTAGCTGATGTAGATGTTGGTGCAGGGGTTGTTCTTGTTGATGGAACTGCAGATGTTACCGTAGTTGATGTAGATGTTGGTTCAGTGGTTGTAGTTGATTCAGATGTAGATGTTTGAGCAGGTGTTGTTGATTGAGGTGTAGATGGTGGTGTTGTTGATTCAGATGTTGATTTAGAAGTTGGTGAGTGAGATGTAGATGTTGTTGTAGCTGATGTAGATGTTGGTGCAGGGGTTGTTCTTGTTGATGGAACTGCAGATGTTACCGTAGTTGATGTAGATGTTGGTTCAGTGGTTGTAGTTGATTCAGATGTAGATGTTTGAGCAGGTGTTGTTGATTGAGGTGTAGATGGTGGTGTTGTTGATTCAGATGTTGATTTAGAAGTTGGTGAGTGAGATGTAGATGTTGTTGTAGCTGATGTAGATGTTGGTGCAGGGGTTGTTCTTGTTGATGGAACTGCAGATGTTACCGTAGTTGATGTAGATGTTGGTTCAGTGGTTGTAGTTGATTCAGATGTAGATGTTTGAGCAGGTGTTGTTGATTGAGGTGTAGATGGTGGTGTTGTTGATTCAGATGTTGATTTAGAAGTTGGTGAGTGAGATGTAGATGTTGTTGTAGCTGATGTAGATGTTGGTGCAGGGGTTGTTCTTGTTGATGGAACTGCAGATGTTACCGTAGTTGATGTAGATGTTGGTTCAGTGGTTGTAGTTGATTCAGATGTAGATGTTTGAGCAGGTGTTGTTGATTGAGGTGTAGATGGTGGTGTTGTTGATTCAGATGTTGATTTAGAAGTTGGTGAGTGAGATGTAGATGTTGTTGTAGCTGATGTAGGTGTTGGTGCAGGGGTTGTTGCTGATAAAGCTATAGATGTTGATGTAGATGTTGGTGCAGGGATTATTGTTGATTCAGATGTAGATGTTTGAGCAGGTGTTGTTGATTGAGGTGCAGATGTTGGTGTTGTTGATTCAGATGTTGATTCAGGGGTTGGTGAGTGAGATATAGATGTTGTTGAAGCTGATGTAGATGTTCGTGCAGGGGTTGTTGTTGTTGTTGATGGAACTGTAGATGTTGGTTCAGTGGTTGTTCTTGATTCAGATGTAGATGTTTGAGAAGGTGTTGTTGATTGAGGTGCAGATGTTGGTGTTGTTGATTCAGATGTTGATTCAGGGGTTGGTGAGTGAGATATAGATGTTGATGAAGCTGATGTAGATGTTCGTGCAGGGGTTGTTGTTGTTGATGGAACTGAAGATGTTGGTGCAGGGATTATTGTTGATTCAGATGTAGATGTTTGAGCAGGTGTTGTTGATTGAGGTGCAGATATTGGTGTTGTTGATTCAGATGTTGATTCAGGGGTTGGTGAGTGAGATATAGATGTTGATGAAGCTGATGTAGATGTTCGTGCAGGGGTTGTTGTTGTTGATGGAACTGTAGATGTTTCTGTAGTTGATGTAGATGTTGGTTCAGTGGTTGTTGTTGATTCAGATGTAGATGTTTGAGCAGGTGTTGTTGATTCAGGTGTAGATGTTGGTGTTGTTGATTCAGATGTTGATTCAGTGATTGGTGAGTGAGATGTAGATGTTGTTGATTCAGGCATGGTTGTTTGAGCAGGTGTTGTTGATTGAGCTGTAGATGTTGGTGTTGTTGATTCAGATATTGATTCAGTAGTTGGTGAGTGAGATGTAGATGTTGTTGTAGCTGATGTAGGTGTTGGTGCAGGGGTTGTTGTTGATTCAGAT